GTCTGGAGAAGAGATGTGTGTGTCTGTGTGTGTGTGGGGGGGGGGGATTTAATAGCAGCTTCAGCTACCTGCAGGGGGGTCCACAGAGGACTGAGCTAGACAGAGGCCCGCAGATGACAGAACAAGGAGCGATGGTCTCAAGTTGCAGCAAGGGAAGTTGAGGTTAGCTATGAGGAAAAACTCTCTCACTGGGGGGCAGTAAAGCAAGGAACAGGTTACCTACCCAGAGAGGTGGTGGACTCTCCATCCTTGGACGTTTAAGACCCAGCTAGACAAAGCCTTGGCTGGGATGATCTAACTGGGGCTGGTCCTGCTTTGAGCATGGGGTTAGACTAGATGTGACCTCCTGAGGTCCCCTCCAACCCTCACAAGTCTGTGTTTCTCCAGTTAAAGAAAAACTATTCATTTTATAAATTAAATGACTTATTCCAGAGGCCAGATCATGGGGTTTGGTAGCTCACCCATGTCAAAAATTTCAATTACAGTTTACAAGAGAAGCAAGCAGATGGAAAGGATAGTCTGAAAGCTTTTGAAGTTGGAACAGGCAATGTTGCATAAACCATAAAGCAAACAAACATCATAATGATTATGACAAAAGGTTATAAAACAGTTAAAAAAATCAAATAGTCTTCTGCAGCAAAGTGCAGGTTGAACTAGTTTTATTAATGTGCTAGGGGAGGTAGGGCTGTATTTTCAGTTTAAGATCAAAGCAAAAAACAAATACAACTATTGGCATGTGCACTGATTGGCTAGCTAATTTATAAAATAAATAAAGCACAACAAACAGAGCAAAATATAGTCAAAGGATATTGCCATTAGTCCCATAGTGATGACAGTTCAATGTACACCTCTCAGTCAGGGCCCTGCTACACTCACTTCAAACGAAAGCTGGGTAGAAAGAAACCAGCTCTAGAGTTGTCACATATTTTCATGCACGAATTTAATAGCTGTTGGCTCTTTCTATAGCCCGATGGACATTGTTATCAAGTGCTCATGACTTTGGAGGTGTGGCTGATCTAAAGGCACTGTGGGATTCACCAGTTAATTGCGTGCTAATTACTTCGCACTTTGTAGCCTGTTTTACTTTGCGTGTGTGACTGGTCTTTATTTATTGTGTGATTAACCAGTTAACTGTGTGATACATGTAACGTGGTAGACACCTCACTCTCATTCAGGGCCCTGCTACACTTTCAAATGACAGTTGGCTAGAAACCAGCTCTAGACTTGTGCCCTGCTGCTGCAGGCGGTGGGGAGGGCGGCGCGGCCCGGCTGGCTCTAGTGTGGCGGCGCCCGCGAATCGCCTCATGGCGGGAAGGTGGAGCAGGCACCTCACCGGCCCCGCTACGCTTGCAAGTGCAAGCTGGGTAGACACCGGCTCTGGACTTGGTACACGTTGTCACGCACTCACTCGGTAGTCGGCTGGCGCTTTTCTCGCGGGGTGGACACAGCTATAACTCGGCAGGGGGTGGCCCGTCTCCATGTATTGCACCACTCCCCAAGGAGGAGCGTGATGGTGCCCCCGCACCTCTGCCTTGTGTGCGA